TGGATTTGTCAGTCACTTTGATCAGAGCTGTGTCAGTGCCTTCATAGCAGAGGACCAAGACTTTATTGTACATTTGTTCCAATCTAGTACCTTCTATGAAACAGTATTGGACATTTTACAGTTATATTGACTTTACTTTTCATGATAGCAAAGATGAATGATTAAATCAACTGCGAGGTCTGTTACATGCCTTCAATATGTTTTTTCTTCCGGTAGAAATGTAGATCTCTGTCTGGGAAATTTGACCAATTCATTTCAAGTGCTTCCCTAATCTCCATGCTTTATAGTGAGTTGGAACTATTTTTGGCTCAGTGGTGGAGCTAGTGTATGTGCTGGTGACACTGTGAGGGGGAAAACAAAGCCTGCCATTGGCCGGGAGATGTTCAAGTGTCCTAGTAGAGCTTCTGAGGGTCTGAGAGTGGATGATTGGGTTTTGATTCAAACTTCCCTGCTCCATTTGGGATAGACTTTAGAATGTCATCTGAATGTAGAAAGTCTCACTCAATAGGAGAATGTCAGTGAAATGATTAGTATTGAGGCCAATGGAGTTAAAACAGATGTTTTAACGTACGTTTTAACGGACGTTTTAACAGACGTTTAAATAAAAAAAAAGACGTTTTAACTCCCAGTCCATAGAAACCCTTCTTAATGATGGTTTCTATGGACTGGGATTGAACAAGTACAAATTTTCCGATCTAAGTGGGAAATTGGTTAGTTGGTCACAGCATGTATTGTTGATTGAACGTATAGCTTACAAATACCCTGTTTTATTATTTATGTACTTGGTTGTGCTTTTTAGGTTGTAATTTCATGAATCTGAAATGCAGCACATTCCAAGCAACTGTAGCTTTTCATCTAAAAATATTTATTTATGATCACTAATTAATCATTATGAATGTAATTCAAAATGTAACTACCATGTAGTGTAAATAGACACTTTTGTCAGAGCCAGTCAGAGCCTCCCGACCATATACTAGCTGTGATGTCATTCAATACAAGTGGTTGTTCAATTCACATACAGAGGAATGAGGTCGTCAGACAAAGGGTGACCACCTAAGGAGATACAACGGATTCTCCTCAAGGAGAACAAGCGAACAAACATGAACAAGTATTTACTCTGGACATCATCCTGCAGATCTGAATCAAATTTCCAAACAGTACAATAGAGATCACACATTGACACAGATGACAAAATAATAGATACAAAAATAGATAATAGATAAGATAATAGATAAAAAACAGACAACACATATGCAGCATCTCTGGAGTCATCGGCCATCATTTTTTCCATATGCAGCATTGCCGTTCAGACCACAGTACATTTTCCACAATGTCTAACTGCAGGTATACCTCAGATAACTAGAACATGGTTCAGCAGTTCATTTATTTTTGTAGTTCAACATAAAATGTGCAACCAATATGATATTGCCTTTGTTTGTTATCATTTCAATGATTACTGCTTACAGTCCATTGAAATGTCCATGTTTTAATTGTTTTGAGCCTATTACAAATGCACATTTATATGTATGTTTTTGGAAGTGGAGTCTTGACATTTGGACGGTGTGGGCATCAAAGATTTTCTGTGACAATACACCTTTTATTTTCAGACTCTTGTAATAGATTTTCTGAAGCATAAAGAGCAACACTTACTGCTCCAAGGGAATGTGAAATGGAATGTGTTTTGGAACGTGTTGCTCTTTAAGACCCTGGATTGCATTAAATCAAAACTCCCAGCCCCCCTTCCGATCAGGAGTAGGTCTACCTGCCAAGTGTCAATGTTCAAAACGACACATATATAGCTCCCAGTACAAGTGACATAGGGATTTCCTTATTCTTGTGCAATTTTAGCTTTACATAAAACATATTACAGATGCCACTGTTTTTCAAAGGGGAATGAAAAATATTGTGAAAGGAAAGGCCATGATAATATAATAATAATAATAATCTTTATTTATATAGCACTTTTAAAAACAGTGTTTACAAAGCGCTGCACAGTCAGCATGATAAACAATAAAAACAGTCATAATGCAAGGTCAAAATAATTAGATACAGAAACACAAAGCAAACAGAGCAAAACACAAAAGAGACTCAACAAAGACAAAGCAGACAATAAAATACAGCATCGGAAGTTTAAAACTAACAGTTAAAAGCTGTTTGATAAAACTGGGTTTTAAGAAGAGATTTAAAAGAGGATACTGATGGTGCGAGCCTTATCTCCTCGGGCAGGTCGTTCCAAAGCCGAGGAGCCCGGACAGAGAAGGCTCGGTCACCTTTTGTCCGGAGCCTCGACCTTGGAACAGTCAACAGGGACCTGCCCGAGGATCTAAGGCTGCGGGGGGGCTCGTAGGGGGTTAAAAGTTCAGAAATATAGCTGGGTGCCAGACCTAAACGAGCTTTAAAAGTAATCAGTAAAATCTTAAAATCAATTCTAAAACGCACAGGGAGCCAGTGGAGAGACGCTAAAACAGGGGTGGTGTGCTCCCTTCTGTTAAAACCAGTGAGAAGTCTGGCTGCTGCGTTCTGGACCAGTTGGAGGCGGGAGAGGGATTTAGCGTCGAGACCGGAGAGGAGGGAGTTGCAGTAGTCGAGGCGGGAGAAGATGAGGGCGTTGACAACTTTATGGAGATCGGGAGGAGTGAGGATGTTTTTAATCTTTGAGATTGTGCGGAGGTGATAGAAGCAGGTTTGGGTGGTTTTATTGATGTGGGAGCGGAAAGTGAGGTGAGAATCAAAAATGACACCAAGGTTACGGGCGGATAGATTCTTTTACAAATCGTTTTCTGTATTGTTTGATAGAATGCTAGGATCTTTATTAAAAAAAACAATAAACAATATGGAGGCTCATTCACAGTTCTTCTTGTGTGTTGCTTTTTTACACCACGGACTGGTAACACAAGCTCCTAAGTGATGTGTTAGGTTTGTAATGTGAAAATAATAATTATAACACTTGGGAGGACGACACAACTGGGAAAGGTATACATTATGTTTTAGAATCCAACAAAAGTGTGTAATCAATTAACCAATGTATATGTTTCCTCTCGCCCCCACTTTAGCCAACTCTGCTCTGCTCTTTGACCCTTTAGGCGCCAGATGTTTTTACTTAGAGGCTACATTTTGACATCTTCATTTCTTAATAACTTAAAAGTAAAAAGATATAGAGGCTTTATGTAAATTAGAGATATTATAAGGAGGGCCCAAAATGTATGTAGGAATGAAATGTACCCATCGAATTTGCATATTATGACTTCATATGGAGGTGGCGATTGTGGATTTTCATGAAATATATTTTTTTTTTTACTGACAGACATTCAAATCACTAGGACATGCACACACAAACAGAACTCACACTGTACCACACTCAAGGGTCAGGGAGAGAGTCAAAGAGTGTAAATCATTGTGTGGCAAGGAGTTTCAATGAATTTTGATACAATAAACTGTACCGTATGTAGTCGACTTACTGTAAGTCAACAGTGGCGCCTAGAGGGTCAACTGTGTATTAGTCTCATTGGCTTATTAGAGTAGTACTACTGAAGAAAATATTGGGATCTTGGGTTGTGTAAAACAAAAGACATTTTTATTGTTAAAAAGAGACACGTCCAAAGATTTGCTGCATGCATGTGATTTATACCATGAAAGAATAGACGCTCCAATCAGCACCTGCCATGGCGCCAGTACCTGCGGCCTTC